TGATCCTGGAGGCAGACGGAGGCGAGATAGTCGGAATGGATGTGATGGTTTTGAATTAAAGAATATAAATAAATTATGTTTGTGGTTATGATTTGTTAAGCTTCCGCAATATTGAAAACTCTGTACTGTTTATGATATGAAAAATATTATTATGATAAACAAAAGTGTTTGAAAAGTTTTAAATTTTACAAATTACCAAGTTAATACTTTAGTCCGAAAGGGGCTGCAGACCTGGACGGATTAGGGTGTTACAATTTGGTATCAGAGCAAATGGTTTTAAAATCGATCTTCGGATCAAAATTTGAATTTAAAAACAAAAAAAAAATTGAGTCAATCACATCCACGACTCTCGCGTCCCTTTGCTCTAGGAAAGGTATGAGAAATTACTTGGTAAATATTTACTCTGTTAGAATTCTCATTGAATAACAATTGATTAGTACTCAAATTGTTTTGAGCTTAGACTCTAATAGAACTTTCGTACTCAGTAAAGAGACGCAAGAATGAATGAAAAATATATGACCCTCTGATCCGTTATTAACGTACGCATCGCATCGCGAAGGACGAAACTGACTTGCATCGCAAAGTCATACGAAAGTGAGACGACTATGAAGAAACGATAATTGTTGAGAAACCACTGTGAAGCCGATGACAAAGATCCTCATGTAGACTCAAGACGATCTAATCGCTGGTTCAAACATGAACGTTTAGAATCAATAAACTCTGTTATGTGAAGTATCCGATACTATTGTTTGGCTCATTAGAACACGTTATGCGATTACTTAATGTGAATTGAAATCGTTTGTTAAGCGACAACTCCTTGCAAAACTTCGTTGAAATACCATACAATGAATTTGATAATTATCATTAGTATACATTGGCTGATCGAACGACGTTGGTATTGACAACTCTTGACGAAGAATTCTTCAACTGAAGATCGATGGTGGAAACCTTATATAGGTGAAAGCAAAGCTGATTTCTAAACCGACCGAGTTCATCTCGAATTTATGTGTGCAACCCCTCAACCAAAAAGGAGCGTAAAATCTTTTCGTGTGAAGTCTACTCGAAAAGAAACATCTGAACTGAAGTAACGTACCGAGAGTATGTCACCTCTCTGATATGAACTTCCTAATACTTCACTGTTCCGAGAAATTGAATTCCCTGCCAATCTTGATCCGAGAAAGGACCAATATTCGTAACTCTATATTGAACGTGTTCTCATCAATGACTTCCTGACAAAGAATCATCTGACCAAGTGTTTCCTCTTTGGGAGAATACCTGTTTTGTTCATACGCGAATCAATAAGACTCTATATCAACTACTGTCAGTTGAACAATTCGTTATCCTTTACCACGTATCATGACTTATTTGATCAGCTTAGAGAATTCATTGTATTCTCTAAGATTGACTTACGGCCAAGATACTCACAAATCCTTGATAGGAAATTCGAACAAACTGACGATCGAGAATTATTATCCTTTACTACGAACTAACAACCTGTTCGGTCAGATACAAAGAATCTGCTTGTTAAAAGCTATAGACAACTCCACCTTGTTGAATGAACTGATGCCTTGTTATGAAGCGATTAATGACCTAATTACTTATCATCAGAAACGTTAATGTAGTCTGATTGAATAAATGAAGTAAAGTGATGTTGACAAGACAAATCAATAAGATATTGACTCGTTCGGATATCATTTTGACGTGAAAGATCGCGACTGTGGTGACGATATGACGTTAAACAGTGACACCAACAATGAAAGACTGAAGAATGAAGAAAATGTAGTCCGCGCTGGCCATACAACATTAAATAATATTTACGGATAATATTATTTCAACACAAAATACAACTTGGATTACATGAGGAAAGTTACAGATGCAATTCTAAGTCTAATTCCCCGGGATTTGCGAACTCGTCATAATTAGCCCCAAAAGCCGGAAAAGCTTTAGCGAACTCTAACTTGTCTAAAAGCTCACCAACAAAGAAAGAAGAAATGAAAAGTTTTCTTTGACTGGAAGCCATGAAGTTTTGCCTCACCGCATCATCTAAAAACTTGATTAGGTTATTGAAATAACCGTCAATGTTCAAAAGACCAATGGGTCTATTGTGTAACCCTTCAGAAGCCCACGAGATCAAAGTGAACAAACCTTCCATAGTGTCAACTCCTCCGGGAAGAACGATGAAAGCTTCCACGGCATGATTCATCTCGAAATACTTGTAATAGTTGCTAGAAACTGTATGCTCTACACCGTACGTAGGTCCATAGACACCTCGTGTTGCTATGTACCCAGGAATGAAACCTCTAACGAGGCCACCATTGGTAAAGACTGTTGAAGCAACAGCTCCTTGAAGGCCAACACTACCTCCTCCATAGGCAAGTTTAATCTTTCGCCTATTCAATTCTCTTCCTAAAGCTACCGCAGTAGCCATAAACTTTGGATTTCTACCAAGAGAATGACTCCCAAGTAGACCAACGAATCTTATGGTAAAAGGAAGTGTTCGAGAAGTTCCTTCCATAATGTGAGAATGTGAAATACTCGTTTCATGATCGTGATATTTATAGCCTCTGAACCTGACCATTGATAGAAATGTTATTATCACCAGCCAAAATACGTACAGTAAAATGGATTCAAATTACCTACAGACGAGAATGTACTCGCTAATATTATAGTGTTGCTAACGATATGACGTATTGAGACCTTTGAACAGTCAGATTTGCTGTCCTGGAAAAATATTCAAATCTGAGATAAAAAGTCAAAATGGCTATTTCCTAAGACAACGACCTCTTGAGTAACTTCTGAAGAGTGAAACATTGAAGGAAGAAAACCTACGATTAGTAACGATAATTCGCAAACGCTATCTTTGTATCTTGTGATTTATATCCTTGAAATACTCAAACTTGTTGTGTTAACTACACACTTGAAAATATCTCGCTTGATCAATCTTGAAAAGATTGAATTCCATTCTTTGTATCAAAATACTAAAACCATGATTCTTCATTGAAACCAAAACAATACTAGGTGATACAGATCTTTGAAAGTATACCCTATGGAATACGTGACTCGATCACAATAGTAAAACTACTTTGACTTAAACATTACATTAAACCTCTCTTTGTGGACTACAAAACGATCAATACAATTACGCTATCTCCAAAGATTATTAACAATGATATTGTTACAATCCTAGCAAGGAAATGTATGTGCGACAACTAGAGAAGAAATGACGTCACAAAAATAGGCTGAAGTGAAGATCTCGAACTTATATGCGATGTTGGTATTAGAACTAGTAAAGATCTCTCACTCTATGAATTCGTGGATTGAATCGCGTACTCAAAATATTCTTTTCTTCCCTTGAACGAGATCAGCCATAGTGCTACAATTAAATCTGTCGCTATCATATCTAGATATGTTTTCAAATTCATGAAAGAAAAATTTGAATATGACAAGGCGTTCACGAGACGATACTCAAACGTTATCATAGGAATTGGTACATAGACTCATTAACGATAATGAGAACTACTACGAAGATGAACGAAGAATTATTTCGACAAGAGATCGATAATGGCAAACTACCGTACAACCAATCGATAGTACTTCTTCGTAAATGATGACAAAATCCATATCTTGAAAATCTTGGACCACAAAAAGCCATTGATTTACTTACGAATCATTGTTGAACTATGTGAACGAGGTGAAGATGACTCGAGCAACTTGAAAAAGTTACGCTATGACGTATGAATTAAACAACCTCCAAAATCTTCCACTACATCTACCGCGAACTTGAAACTGCAAATGCTACCAAAGGACTTTCGATCGAGGAAAGAATATCGTTAATCAACATTGTACAATTGAGAATTGCGAATAAACGAAGTTATGTGCGAGTATGTCAAATCTACAACCGTATACATTGCTATGAAGCCTTAGTTGTTGACACTGAAAGATCACTGAATGTCTTGCTTAATCAAAGATTGTTAATCTCTTGAAGAAAGAACGAGTTTCGTAACATCGACGATTTGAGAATACATATCCGTGTGGATAATGACATGGTTATGATTTAACTGAATGAACATGACACGATCATGATTAAGTAAGATCACTACAGAATGTTGAACGTTTGGCCCTAGAAGAATTTCGAGGACGAAATTCCTTTTAAGGGGGGGAGAAATGTAACGCCCCAAAATATACCCTAAAATTTATTGAGTTAAATATTTAATTAAACAAAATTGTTTTGATTAAAATAAATTATTGTTGGGCTTTGGGCCGAAATAAAATATACATTGATGTCCAATAAACATAATTGGGTTAAATCTCATAAAGATAAATCTAACCTGTTGACTTATTGTGTGATCTTGATTGGGAACCTGAGTACAGACCCAAAATAAGAATAAATGAAGAAATTGTTTGTAACGTGAACTTTGAAATGATTTATTGAAATAAATCATGGAAATAAATAATATGAATTAAATGTGAGAACCTTTTTGAATAAAGGTCAATCAAATCAATTTTGACTCTGTCAAAGCCAACCACCCAAAAATATGATGTCGGAAAAAGTATAACGAATAAATATAAAAATTATATCGTTGGATAGAGTTTAACTGTCCGATCGCAACGGTGCAAACGGATTTCAATTTGGAGAAAGTTGGACCAAAAAGTATACCCCGACTGGGACCAAAATTAGTCCCAATCAGGGAGTAACGTGCTTAATCTCTTTATCGCCGAATGAATAGTGAAATGGGAATCCTACGCAGCAGCAACTCAGCTTCCCATGTCTTCTTCCTCTTCCTCTTGCTATATAAGAAACTCAATTCTTCTCATTTCTTCACCATTCATCTTCAAAATTCTTCCTAAGTGTTCCTAAGAGTGCAAGGAGTGTAGTGGTGCTGTCAATTTGGTGTGAAGTCGCCGGAGCTAGCCACAAACCTCGCCGGAAGTTTCGCCGGAAAATATTCAAAACCTTCATTTACCTTTGAGGTAAGCCCGTTGATATATCTAGTGACTAGAATGTTCGTATAGATCGTTTCTACGTTCATAAACGGTCGTTTGGTTGAGTTTTGTGTTTGATATGCTTAAAGAACCAAGAATCATAAACCATTAAATTGATGTTAAAACTATGAATTAATGATGCCAAAATGATCTATGAACCTTGGAGAACATCTCTATATAGTTTCGTTGAAATTCAATAACTAAAAACGGTATTTTCGAAATTGGACCCGAACGAAGAAGATGATGAACAGTAACCAAAAACCAGGCTGTCTGGATCGATCCAAATGGGTGGATCGATCACCTGGGTGTAATTTTTCATATCATGGATCGATCCAGAGGGCTGGATCGATCCCCCGAAGTTCTGATCCGAAAATTTGTTTGAAAATGCTATTTTTGAGCTCTAAAATCCTATTTTTGATACCAATTGATTATGATCATTATAAAAATGATTTACCACAAGATAAATGATGTTTTTAATAACTAAAAATGCTATGTGTTGCATGACGGTAAGTTCGGGTGTTAACACTCGAAGCTAGGCCGCTATTTGCTATCGAATGTTATGTTGATTGATGATTATGATGAATGATTATTATGATGATTATGACTTGAGGAAACCACTGATTAAAATGATTATCAAGGATTAAATTATGAATTGAAATGAATATGTTGATGATTATGAAATGATTTGGATTGTAAGGATATCTAGAAGAACTCTAAGATATACCTAGGTTGACTTTGGTTTCTAAGACTATCTAGAAGACCTCTAAGATAGCTTAGAAATAGGCCTTGCGGGTATAATTATTAATATTCGGTGGCCTGGGTTAAAACGTACGTACGG